CCGGTGGTGTGGAGAGGTCCTAACAGAAGGATGGTCTGTGTCCTCCAAGGGCTGGAAGGATTCTGAGCTAGTTCAACAACAGAACAAGCAGCCCATGAGGAGGCTTTGAGGCTCATCACCAATAACTCGAAATCTTCAYGTACTGCAGATACACCTGGTAGATGCTCATTTTTAAGCTCTCCAACTCCACAACTTATTTTGATGATGGAAGGTGTAAGACGTAGTTGAGACAAGAGCTCCCAAGTGCAGGTCAACACACTGKGTTTGGTGCTAGGCTGCTCATCACTATTGCATCTGTGTTGACCACAGAAGCCTAAATTGGCTGATTTGTGGAAAACAATAAATATGCAGACGAAATCCTTTTGATGAGGGCTTCAGTGCACTTATAAAATCTGAGCACCCGTTTAGTTTTCTGCATCAATCGTCATTCATAAATATGGGATGCTTTGCCCCATGCAAAATAGAACCTCATGATTACTGTTTTAATTCAAGATGTACTCTCCCTTAGTGAAGGGCCTTTAGAATTATTTTGAATTATTATGGTGATGTTTAGTGGCTGGTTAATAACTTCAAGGTGTTAACCTCAGGTAAATTAATTACATTCTCAAGTGGATAGGAAAAAAGTCTACTTTTGTTGGAGGATGTAATTTTTATTTTTATTTCTTCTGTCAATTAGTGGTATTGCGGCTACATGTGCCTGCCTTATGTTAGTCACTTCTCTGCCTGCTTGCCAGGAGGTCTTCACTAAGGAGAGCTGTGATGGAGAGGGAAAATGGGCTAGTGAGAAGGAAGAACGAGGTCAAAATGAAAATTATTAATTTTAAAAAGTAAAGTGATTTTGCTTTTCTTAAACCATTTGGACTAGAAATGAGACAACTGAGCACTACTATAGGAAACTCTTAATCTTAATAGTTATTTTAATTGAGTATCAAACGTATTAACTATTAAGAAATTCAAAACATAAGCAAGGACAACTTCCAAAACTCTCTTCTGTTGAATGTATCATCTCTGCTTATTACCACAATTCAAAGCTGCAGCTGAGAATTTAGATTTGCTCTTAACGGTTATTTCAAATAAAAGGAGGAAAATCCTCAAATTTGGATTTTGTGCACTTTATCCACAACTAAAAATACAGATTAATCATTTTAGGGTCGCTAAAAAGACTCACATAATTGATTTTGTAATCTTTTRTAGTCTTTGTAGTTATGAATTTTGAGCAATGAAGTAGCCAGTGCTGCTATTGACTAGGTAGGCTTCAAAAGACCTTTTAGGAACCTTCTTGTCTTATCATGTAAATAGACATTTGGCAGTATTTTAAAATGTATACCCAGTAGATCTTTTTAATGCATTTCCTTTTTCATGTGTTCCTTGTTTAATTCAAACAAGCATCTGACATGAAAGCTGAAGATAAAAGTGTAACATAGTACAATTAGTTTCTGTGAAGTCTGCTGATCACTAATGGAGCACATCTTGTCGTCTTACACAACTAGGCATAATACAGGCCATTTTTTGGTCATTTGTGTTGTACATTAAAAGCATCAAATAGACTGCTATCATGTGCCAGGGCTCATGGACGTGAAGTTCCTCTGTTTGATAATACTGGAAATAATTTTGCTTTCCAAATATGCCTATCAGTAATTGCCGCAATCAAATCAGAGGCATGCAACACTTACAGTGTAAATCTTTATATATAAAGAAAAATAATGCAAAAATAGATCAGAGTAAATAAATATAAAAAATACAACGAGTTCAATAAGATGATCTTGTTWCTTTCACATTTGTTGCTTTCACATAGCCTAAACTCTGCTTTATTATTAGGTGTTGTGATATCTTACCAACTGATGTATAGATCTTCCTAATCAAATAAACACAAGTTTAAGTGTACAGTTTGAAAGCAGGGGGCTGGACTTCTGCATTTAAATCCAGTCATTTAAATTTCCAGTTAAGAAACAGATGTTGTGAGGATTTTTGGTGAAAATGTTCTCATAGGAAAACTGGAACATTGTGGACGTAAACTAAAAGTATCTATTTACCAATTTATCTATTGATAAATCTACTGATATATTTACCATCAAATATCTGGTAAGAGGCTTTTTTAAATCTAATTGTTAGATTTATCTTTTTATTGCATTTCATTTAATTTAAATAATCATTATTTTATTATTTTATATTGTTATTGTTTATCTTTATTATTGCTCAGAGTGTAGAATTCAGGGTGGAATCTGGGTGCAAACGCCACCGATTTTGTGTGCATCTGATGTGTTGTTCCACTTTATTGGAAAGGTAGCTTTAAGTTGCAAAAAAGGAAATGTATTTTTGTAGGATTTAGGAGAGCTGTAAKTCATACTCTCTTTCTTACCATTCTGTGCAGAACATACGGGCGGGTTTAAAACGATCGCATGTGCATGGCTCTGTATTATTTAAGCTGCAGGAATAATGTTTTCTTATTTTAAACTGCCACCACTTTGGGAATGTAACAAAATTATACAAGATGCTGCACATCTTGACAGTGCCGCGTAGTAGTGGGAAATGCCTATTCCAAGCTCAGTTGTAAGGCTCAATGCATACAGCAAGGAAATGCAACATGCAGGTGCAGCACATGGATCGTGGTGTGGGGGGTTATGACTGAAGTTAGGCATCCTCTTGTTCTTGGATCACTGGAAAAAAAATGTCCAGTTCACCATGTTGCACTGCGATAAATAAAAGGGTTTCCTAGGAAAGTATCATAGCTGATTTGTAGACAGGGAGTGATGGAGCTGCTTTTTCTTCCTTTCTTCTATGTCTCGACTTTCAGCCATGTAGAAGGGAGAAGACAACTGAGAGGAGGTAGTGGCTTTGGCCACTGTTGAGGAATATAACTACATGCGAAGTAATATTGCTACCATAGACCAGTAAACCAACAGCAATATTTCCTCCTCTGTCAAAGTCTTTGTGCAATGGTAAAGTGAAAAGTGTTCAGTCTTTTCACAGGACAATTTATAAACAGAAAGCATTTCAAAATTGAGATTTATTCTTCTGCCTTTCTTTGCCACTGAGCACAGCAGAAGGAATCTTAAAGCTCTTGCTTGTCAGTTTGTGCTCTCAATTTTCCTTTCCCAAGGGTTATTCTTGCTTCTGTTGCAGAAGTTATAGAGGGTTTGAAAAGCTAAAAGTGGAATGGAAAAGGGGAGGGGAGAAGAAAATGTGAATGTAAAACCTGGTATCATTTTCCTTGGTAGCAGCAAGGGAAAGAAAGAAGGAAAGAAAGAAAGAAAAGAAAGAAGTGTTTTAAAATATGGAAATGATTAATGATGGTGGGTTTTTTGAAAAAGATTTTTTTTTTCAAAAAAATACACTTGGACACAAACATAAAATTCACACTTTTTGTAATGGGGTAGTAGAACTTCATTTTTGTAATGAAGTAATGAAGAGCTACCTCTCCTCATGCATATCTGTGTAGCGTAGAGCATTTCTGGTGGGGAGAGCACTTGYAGTACTGTGTAAACCCCATCCATCGACACGGTTTGGACTCAAGATCTCCACCACCTCAGAGCATAAATCTCTTGGAGAAAGGGGGATTAGTGATAAGAGCTGTAAGAGACCCTTGGATGAGGAGAGAGTGAGAAAATAAAGGAGGAAAATTGGAAGTTGGGTGCGGTGCGCATTGAAACAGGGCAGGGATGCCCACCAAGGTGTTAACGGGGACAATTCATGGGGGATCGTGGTACCCAGGATGAGGAAAAAGCCCGTGGAGTTGACAGAGATGCCACCGGCAGAGCGTGACCCCACGTGTTTATGGAGTCAGGCTCTGTGTCGGCCTCGGAGCTAAATTACTCCCCAGATCAAGGCAAGCAAGCAGCGTCTGAGGCCGGTCTCTTCTTTATGGCTTTAATCCTCAGTCCTCGTTCAGAAAACGGGCAGCCGGTTTCGTTTTCTTGTTTCAAAGGTTCTGACACCAGTTAAAAAGAAAGAAAAAAAAAAAAAAGAAAAAGCTTTTAATCTTCCAGTCAAGAAATAGGCGGTGGAGTTAACTAAATGAGACCTGGTGGAGCACCTGCACTTGCTACGAGCCGCTTCTGGGCAAAGACACGCATGGCTCTTTGGAGCAAACATACAAAACTGCAGAGGTGCAGGCTTAGCAGTGACACCCCTGCAATTCAATATTTATCTGGAAATCCATCTCCATGTGAGGAGGAACTTCTTCACTGTGAGGGTGACAGAGCCCTGGCACAGGATGCCCAGGGTGGTTGTGGAGTCTCYTTCTCTGGAGGTCTTCCAAACCCGCCTGGATGCCACCATGTGCCCCGTGCTCTGGGTGTCCCTGCTGGAGCAGGGGGGTTGGACTAGATGATCTCTAGGCGTTCCTTCCAACCTCAACCATTCTGTGTGATTTTGTGAAATCTTCAGCTTGCATCCCCCTGGAAGATCTGATCTTTCCCCTACACTGTAGTTATTTTAACATGCCTGAGGAAGTGCCAGCATAGCTGCTTTAGCAGCCAATGACTGTTATGCTGCYTTTTTTTTTTTTATTGGCATTCAATTTTAAGGGCTGACAGACAGTAAATAATAAGACTTCTCTCTACTGTTCTACAATAATTTGTCCTATGCTTGTAAATAAGTCTCTCTTCCTGCCTTGTGCTAAACAATACTCACCATTTTTGGAAGAGACTGAGCAAACAGAACATTGTCCCATTTTTTTTATAAGCTGTCACTGAACAGAACTGAACAGATATTACTGTAGTTGTTTATTATTTTCACATTGAAAGAAGCAACTTTTACTTTCTGAAAAGGCTAATTTTTTTAATGGTGGTTTTATTAAATTTACAGAAGTATTTTCCAGTGTATTCTCCATGCAGAGGTTTCAGGCCAGCCTGGAGAAAAGTGATATATAAAGATCTTCAGATACCCTTTTGGACTGAGCAACAGGCCATCAAGGCAAAAGGCGACGTGCTGTGAAGAAGAGTTGATTATTCCATGCACTCTTAGCGTTTTTATTCTGTGTTTTCTCCTCTCTCTGGCAGACCCCATGCATTGCCAAGACTGAGAACCAGCCTCAAGGACTCGCCACTAGCGTTCGGTGGGGACAGACACCCATCAATCAGTCGACCCCGTGGGACACCGATGAGCCGCCCTCCAAGCAGATGAGGGAGAACGACAACCCAGGTTTGTTGTTCAACCCATTTGTAATTCTACAAGGGGAAAATCRTTCGGGGCAAATTCAATGCTCCATTGACCTCTCTAAATTAGACTTCATTATGAGCCACTTCTTATTCCCTAGCCTTTTTTTCCCTTTTTTCCTCCTGTTGTAAAGACCCCTCAAGTTGCTTCTGTTAGGGCTAATATAAATGTATTGAGAGGCCTGCAAGTTCATTTAAGAGTTTTTTTCCCTTTCTTCCTCCCCTTCTCTACCCTCACTAGCAGAAAAAGGCCCCTTGTGATTCTTTAAGCCCTCTTTTATGCCCAGAACTGCTTGAAATGGTTTCCAGCTCCCAGACGCGCACCACGCATTGTGCTGCTGCGCTGGGTGCCTCATTACAAAATATATATATATAAAACTGTAAAAACACGCCGCATGTGACCCCATGAGGGCTTTAACAACAGCGATGGCTTCGCGGTGGTGGGTTTTTTCAGTGGGTTGGCAGTGCTCCTGGGCCGTCTTGGTGGTGGGGAGGAAGCGGGACCCGCTGGGGCTGCTGTTGGGAGGCGCGGGGCGCTTTGGGGGTGTCTGGCGGGGCGTTTTGGGGGTGTCTGGGGTGGTGGGGAGGAAGCGGGACCCGCTGGGGCTGCTGTTGGGAGGCGCGGGGCGCTTTGGGGGTGTCTGGCGGGGCGTTTTGGGGGTGTCTGGGGGGCGTTTTGGGGGCGTTTTGCACCGTTGTGTGACGAGGGCCTCCCTCCGCGCGGCAGGTGCGGCGCCGTGGGTGACGCCGGTGGCGGCGGGCAGCCAGCCGCCCCTCATCCCGCACTCRTACGGCATGACGCAGGCGCCCAGCTTCAGCCCGGCCGCCAGCGCGCAGGCGCCCGTCATCGGCGTGACGCCCTCGCTGCCGCCGCACGTGGCGCCCCAGCTGCCTCTGCTGCCTGCACACTACCAGCTGCCGCAGCAGCCCTCGCAGCCCCTCAGCAACATGGTGGTGAACCTGCAGAGCCAGCCCCTCTACACCAACAGCCAGCCGCTCAGCATGGCCTCGCTGCCCGGCGCCGTGGGCCCCGCCGCGCACCCGGCGCACGGCGCCGTGGCCAACGGCCACCTCGCCTGCCCGCTGCTGCCGCCGCCGCCGCTGCCCTCGGCCGCGCTGCCCAGCGCCGGGCCCGCCGCCACCAACGGGCAGGCGGCGCCGCCGCTGCCGCCCGCGCAGGACGCGCCCGCCGCCGGGCTGCAGATGCTGCGCACCATCGGCGTGGGCAAGTACGAGTTCACCGACCCCTGGCACCCCAAAGGTAAGCAGGGCGCGCGACGCCTCCTCCTGCGCCGCCGCGGGCGCGCGAGGCGGCTCCRGGGAGGGTGCCGAGCGGCCGACATCTTCTACCGCTGGCATCCATCAAGCCGGCTTTCCCTTTGCAAATCCATGTTGTCCTCCTTGACTTTCCTCTTGGAGGCCTCCCTCTTGCTCAGCCACTTTCCAGCTTCGTTTTGCGGCGTTTTCCCTTAAAAAGAGCACGAACGCGCCGCGTGCTGTGAGGGCAGAGCAGAAGGCGGCTCGCAAGAATATAAATGCAGACCTATTAGCGAAATCGATCGCATTGATTTAAAAGAAAAAGAAAAAAAGAAAAAAAAAACTTGATGGCTTCATTAAGTCAGTGATATTTTACGTGTACATCTGTATTCAGGCACGGCCCACGTGTAAATTATTTACTTGCCACAAGCTATTAAGTCTGTAGCTCTGTATAGAGATGAGGAATCTCTATTAAAAATGATATATAAGGCCAATAAGTCTCCCTGCTTGTTACATAAATTGTGCCTCGGTATATGCCAGACATCTCTCTTCAAAGGGACTTAAGGCACAATCTCAGCTGGGCATTTGGGCTGCTTGTACGTTCTTAAGTCCAAACCCTTATAGCCAATGCCAATACTTGCAGCATGGTGACTCTTTGAATTTGTCCTTCCTTTAAAATCCACATGGACTTAAAGTGATACAAACCTGGGCAGGTAGTGGAAAATTCACAGGCAGCTGCTCTGTAAGGTTTTTGGTATTTTTTCCCTTTAAAAAAAAAATAATAATCTCTGCTCCTTGCAGCCACCCATCTCCATTCCCAGCGCTGGATGCTCTGACATATGATCAAGTTAACGCAATTTAAAGGCTTATGTGGTGCCATGTGCAAATAYACAATACAAGGGAAAGCGCATAAGCTTAAACCACTTTCGCCGTGGTAATTTGATCACATATCTGAGCCCTACTGACGCTAACCTAGTGAGACAAATGAGCGTGTCAACGACTGCACACTGGAGGTTAGGGAGACTCTTCAGTGCCTCGCACGCTCAGGGCCAGTAGCATCAGCTGTTATTTACTCTTCTCCGTCAATTAACCTTGAGCATATCTCAGGCTACCAGGTGAAGCAGACTTCAAATCGGCGCCTGAGCAAAACGAGCATAAGAGCAGCCTGTGGATATTTGATTTGCAAAGTCTTAATCAGCGCTGCGGCGTGAACGGCTGCGAACCAYGCTCTAATTGTCCGAGCTCCGCTGAGCGTTCAGGAGATCCAGGTTTGCTTGACAGCTTAAGAGGCAACAAGTTCTTCATTAAGGTGAGGGAGAGAGTTCCTGGAATATGCCAGGCACATCAGAGCAGGCTCCGGTCTGGTACGTGGAGACCTTTGTACCTTGGACAGGCTCATCAGCAGAATATTGAAGCGAGCAGTACTTCTAAGATGTGATAACTGCTGGCACATTAACCATATCAAACCTTACATGTTACAGCTAAAGAGCTGTTTTTGCCCAGGAATATCTACCTTCTGATGATGATCATCAGGTTTTGACTTGTTTCAAGTTCCTGCAACGGTTAAAAAGCAAACACATAAGAGATAATGAAGCGTGTGTATACAAGTGTCTCATCAGCAGGACTTGTTTAATAGGGAAAAAGTCATCTCTTCCTCCATTTCTACTCTTAAAAGCCCTTACTTCCAAAGCTATAAGTCTTCTTGTCAAAGCTAATGTCAGACAAGATATGAATTATTAACAGTTGGGTTTGCTTGTGTTTAGTTTGGTTTCTGAAGGAGAGAGGAAAAATCCGGAAGGAGGAAGCAACTGGGTTTGGAAAACAGACCTTAAAACCTAGCTAGGATAAGATTCGTCATGCAAACCTCATGGATTTCAGTGTATCTCAATTTTTGAATTATTTTTTGTTTTAATTTCTRCCCTTAAGGATTTCAGTCTGTAAAGCCTAGCTGATTTCACAGTCTTACATGACAGACATATTTCTCTCCAGGAAGGAATGGAAACTCTGAGACAGTCCTGAGCTCTTCAAATATACAAGTTGAAACTAGTTCTCTACTAGTTTTATTTAAATATTCTCTCTCTCTCAGGGAACTGTGACCAGTATTAGAATAAGAGCCACTGCTAATGGCCTTAAGATCTATCTCATTATCCTGAGATACTCTGTATTATTATTTCACTTGACAATCCAGTCTTGCACAGGTTTGAATAATTACCCAGCTATCCTCTAAGTGAAAGAGCACTTCTTGATGGTTAATATGATAGGGCTTCATATATTTTTAGACTTTATTAGTGAGCTGATTTGAAATGTCATGTTTTATTTCCCATAATTATGTTTCATTTGGCTGTGTATATGCCGGGGCGATATTATAATGTATTCATTCAGCACTCCCTTTCTTATCTGGCTGCTTCCAAATAAAAGTAAACAAGTAAGTCAGCAAAAGTTAAAGAAACTGCTGCTATGTRGTTTCACTTGCAATAGGTCAAGAGATCTCACTTACATGACTGAAAGAGCCTTTGCAATTTTTTGCATGGATTAGAGATATTCTCTGTCTGGATGGGTARTATTCTGTGAAGGGACTTTTAATCATTTCTGTAATATATTAAATATAAGGGTTAAGTTTAGCTTCATTTACTTAGGGAATTTATAAAGCAGTCACATTATGGAAGACATAAATAACATATCAAAGTAGTTAATGTTTTTAAAAATGTGTGAAGACCTGTAGAGCTGCAYTAGGAAATGGATGGGATCTTTTACCATACACGAATAACAATAGTTTTGAAATACTTCTGGCTTGAGCTGTAGTTGCCCTTTGGATAGTTTTYAGAGCAAATATCCCTAGTTATTATCAAAAGCCATGATACTTTAACACAAAAATATCAAATCAGTATTTTAGAACAGCATCACCCATTGCTTGCTATCTATATCCTAAGGCTTGCACTACTATGTAAAGGTAGGAGCCATGGGAATCAACAAAGCTACATATTCAGGGCAATGAAATTCAATTCAGTTAAGGCAACATGGAGAAAATTTGATCTTGGTGATGAAGGACTGGAAGAGATTGGTTCCCTTGGAGAAATGATAGTGTGCCTGAGATTTAGTCCTTGATTTTTTCACAGGGCAGGGTGTGTTCTTCTCTGTGTTCAAGGCTCATAGTAAATCCAAAATTGAACCCGTGGTGGATAGCCCTGCCATACAGAGGGCATAAAAATTCCATCCTGAACTTTGAGATCTGGTACACAATTTGAAAAGAAGCTTTCTTCATAAATTCGGTATACCGTCAAGCCCGGATGCTAACATAAAGAAAGAGCAAAAGAGAGTTCTTTGTTGTAATACTTTCTCCTGCAACATGAAATTAGCTATGGAAGTTAAGGGTTTTAATTTGTGAATGTTGATGGATAACACTGATGTTTRTTTCCGTAGTATTTTTGTTCTATAATTTTTCGGTTTGCAGTCTTTAACCAGTGAGAAAAGAAATCAGATGCTAATTAGTGTTCCAAATGTAATGACTGTGGCATCATAACAGTATCAGAAATAAAATCTGAATGTTAATCCTTGTAACACTAATTTCTTAACACTTCATTTTCAAGCATCACCAAATACCATGAACTAAACAATAAGAAAACTACAAATGAATACTCTTGCATCATCACTTATTGATTGTACCTTTCACACTTGACTTTATTGCATTGGAATTCTCATTAGGCCTCAGACAATATTTACTTTCCTTAATCATGAATTGTAACAAGGTAGACTACAGCATTTTGTCAATAACCATCAACTTTTTCTTTGCAAAAGTGAGGTACACTTATTTAAGGCAGAATTTTCAAAGGGACTTCAACTGGATCCGGATTCTGGGMGTGTGTTTAGCTTTAGACATTACTTTGCAGGAGAAGGGGCTAAATTCCAAGTACCAACTAGTATTTGGAATTCTGATAACATTAATGAATGGACATTGGGTGATAAAGACTCTAGAAATCTCCTTTCTCTTTACCTTGCACCAAAGTGCCTGGGTAACCCTGGGAATATTTCTTTTATTTTTATATCCACATATGTGTGTGTGTGTATTTATATATTTATGTATATATATTTACATATAGAGTGAAAAAGAGCTTGCAAATGATTGTGGATCTGGAAGTCTGCAGTAGAAGTAATAATGTTTTCTAGCTCCTATTTCCTGTAGAAAAGTTAAATCCTAAAGCTGGTCATGTTTAGGGCATTTAGGGCAACAAAGATGATTAAGGAACTGGAGCATCTGTCGTACAAGGACAGACTGAGTGAGTCCCTTTTCTCTGGAGGAGAGAAGGCTGAGAGGAGATCTGATCAGTATGTATAAGTACCTGAAGGGGGAATGTAGGGAGSAAGCGGCCAAGCTCTTCTCAGTGGTAGCCAGGGCCAGGACAAGGAGCAATGGGTTTAAGTTGAAACATAGGTAGTTCCATCTCCATGTGAGGAAGAAGTTCTTTCCTGTGAGGGTGACAGAGCCCTGGAACAGGCTGCCCAGGGAGGTTATGGAGTCTCCTTCTCTGGAGATGGAAAACTGCCTGAATGCCACCCTGTGCCCCRTGCTCTGGGTGTCCCTGCTGGAGCAGGGGGTTAGACTAGTTGATCTCTAGAGGTCCCTTCCAACCTGAACCATTCTGGGATTCTGTGATTTTATGTTAACACAGTACATGTTTCTTCCTCTGTTTCCTTAAGATAGTTTTGATCATTTGGGAGAGACGAGTGGTACTGAGAAACCAATAACCAGTGATGGTTTGTAGGCTCAGGCAACATTTCAGAGTTCCAGCATCCTCAGCACAYGATGCTGAACTTAAACCGCACTGCCTGAACAGGTCTTCTAAAATCAAATCTTGTCCAAAATTAATTACAGTTTTCTGGTATCAGAATAAACTCGGGGGAATTGCAAAGTTGATGAGGTTATCTAAGCCATCAGCTGAAGGAGATTGAAATACGCTTCGTCTCCTTGTGTTCCGGCTGGAGTGTTCGTTGGGATTCCCGCCCTGC